GTAGCTCTAGATTCATAACCATGGGCAATACATTGGATTCCTCTCCTGTCCGACACCTGCACTCAAGTTCCATGTCATTACTTCCTTGCTCACAGAAAAGAAAATTGGGTGTCAGAATCTGCCGTGTAAGTGGAGGATACCATCACCCAAGTATATGCTACTATTCTCCTTTGATATCAAACAGGGAATGTTTTCTAAATATCACACCTAGTAATTTGTCACCATCTCCTCACTTAACAGTCAGCTATTCACAGATTTTTGCCTCAGGTACGAGGGTGCCCATTTCCACCAGAATGCAATTGCTTAAAAGATTTTTTTTTACATCTTCCTTAAACTTCTAATATGTTGCTTGAAACTCTGTATAGCCACTGCTTTTAAGTGACATCAATAAACCTATAGAGAAGGAATTATATAAAACTTATCTAATTAATATTTGTAAGATGTCCTGAGATCCTGGCACAAAAAACAACACTGAAACCCAAAGGTACTCCATAACTTTCTTTTTTAATCAGCTTCCAGCAAGATTCCATGAGGCTTCTAGTTCTAGCTGTTTCGGCCATTTTTAAAATTGCTACCATAAGAAACACACAATGTTTTTAAAGGAAGAGTCAAAAGGGGCTCATTAATGTAGGTGAGTGAGGCCACAGAAATCTCACTGATTGTTCAGACACACACAGAAATGCATAGCAGATGGTACAGCCGGAGTGCACAGATTTCACTGCAGCAGTGAAAGTTGTCCCTTAATCCCAACCCACGCAGTTGCTGACCAGAGAGTGACTCTAAAATCTCCCCATTTCCTCACAGACAGATCATTTTTAGTGAAGTAGTAGAGGGCAGCTTAGGCCCCCAAGGGAAGATTCCAAATAAAGCTGATCTTATGCCAAACCCATTGCCCAGATGAGCTTGACTACACAGAGGAGTTGCAGATGAAAGACCCAGTCTGGCTGCCAGAAAAATATACAGAATGTTTAGGTGGATTTGACTTTCACTTTACATGGGGCATACCTAGAATCACTGTGTATCTGAGATTCAAATTTTGCTGGACAACCTGGATTTTTATTTGCTAAATCTGGCAACAAGGCAAAGGAAAATTAAGACAGTGTATTTTTCATTGATACAATGCCACCCTGCACCAAAGGAAAATATGAGTGGGAAGCTGTCTGTAACTTTCTCTTTTGTTTTAAGCATTCCTGGTACAAATGAAATGTCAATGGCTTCAAAGTGTAAAACAATGTTCAACAGGTGAAAGAAATGATATGCTGCCATCAAAGGTTATGATGAGCACTTGAAGATCCATCCACACATTAGAAAGTAAGATTTACATTAATGGGTCACATAAATAATTTACAATGTAATTAAAATGAGAAATGTTGTGAACTACCTGCACACACGAATCTTACCGGGTAGTCACCCTGCCTGCACAGCATCTGAACAGCAACTGATTAACCCTGCATTTCCAAGTAGAAACCAATCCTTGAGTAAAGCAGACAGACACCTCCTCTCCATCCATTATCTTCCACAGGAAACCTTAACATTTCCAAGGGTCTCCTTCAGTTGATAACATATGAGCTAACCACACACTTATTCTTATACTGACATGTTTGGTTTCAGGGACAGCAACTTGGGAAAGGAAGCACATGGTTGTAATCACCACTGCAGGACTCCTTTCATTTACCACAGAACAGACTTTACCTAGGTGATAAGATGGCCAATTCCCATCAAAAACATTTTTAAAATGTTACTGTCCACCACTTCCAGTGGTGGCTGTTGCCAGAGAGGGGAAATTATTGCTTTAAAAAGTCTGCTTAAACAGTATAAATACTTGACCGGTATTTTCTACATAAAAAAACAAGCACAATTAGACCAGGTCTACAGCCTGCACTTAAGTTAGAAATCTGGGAATTACTGATGACTCAGGGTTCTGGAAAGAGCCATTCTAGAACTTTGAAACAAAATGACCCATCTTTGCCCAAATTGTTTGATCTGAATTATCCAAAATCTTGTGGCTCTGGGCACCTGACTTTTAAGGTTTAGCTGACTGAGGCTTTTAAGAACACCAGTTTGCAAAATTCCCTGTGGAAGAAATGAAGCACTTGGTGAGCTGTTACTTCTTTTTGTTATTGAGCATTTTTTGGACTATTGTACAAAATTAGTCACTTAATAGGCTTGGCTGAATATTTTCTTAATTTGTTCATTGGTTTTGCTGGAAGAGCTGCACTGAAGCATTAGCAAAGATCTTTGATTTACAGCATCCAAGGGGAATTGTATAATTAAACCCTGCTTCCAGAAAGTGCAGAATATAATCAGCTTTATCAATGAGGATATTGGTTAGCTAATGCTTACTGGACATATTTACTACAACCTGGCACTGTTTACTTGTAGGTGTAGTCTGTCGTTTAATACTTCCCAAAGCCTTGTGAGGTTTTACTTCCATCAAGTTTGAAGATAAGAACACACATTGTGAATAAGGTGCTTGCCCTAAACAGGGCGCGTATGCAGCAAAGCCTGTTGGTATCCAACTGCAGGAAGAATCTACTGCTCACCACCTCGAAGCCCTACCTCTGTTTGCACATCAGATAATAAGGAAAAGATGCCACCTTTCAGGTCTAGTGTCATGTGGAGGAACTATCCTGTCTTTGCCTATGATCACGAATTTTGGAGGACAGGAGTCTCTCAGGCCAAAGCAAGGCTGGCGACACTTTCTACCACCCCAGCAAGCCACAGATGGCCCTGGTGTTTCTGGGCATGTGTGTGCCGTTCTGGTTTGTGTTAATATATTTGGGAAAAGGTTAAATAGACACACAGCAGAGCCCGTAGCAGACAGAGAGCTGAAAACTCATAGGGAGGGCACATCCTTCAAGGACGAGGACATCAGGTGGTTAGTTAGATCCCATGGGGGTGGCAGGCTGGGGTCCAGCTCTCCTGTCCTGTTTGCCCAGAGACAACAAGATGCACAGAGTGCCTGGCAGTGGGGTGGGCCACACTATTCCTGCAGGACACCAGAGCAGACAGGGCAGGAGCAGCAAGAGAGTGGGGATTTGTGCCTCCCTACCTATGACCTGCTCCTCTTTTGTCCTATGCCAGTGTTGCAGAAAAAGGCCTCTGAGAGCCTCACCATATCTTTGATCTCTTGGTGAGGGAGTTGTGAATAATGGGGCCATAGAATGTCAGAAAGCAGCTGTGACAGGTAGGGAATGAAGGAGAAGCAGCTCTAAAGCCCTAAAAAGCGAAGTTTCTAAGGCTGGAGACCACGCTCCAGAGTAGCTTTGAACCCAGGAGTTTCAGCTAGCAGTCACCAGATGAGAAGAGTTTGAGTAATGTGCTGTAAAAGAGTGGCCACCAGAGCCAGCCTCCAGACAGCTGAAGACCACCCAGACTTTCTCTTTCCTTTGAAGACACAAGAGGATAAAGAGACCGCCTGGGCTGGACTGCTGACAATACGTACACATGTGCAAGTGCCCATTCTACATCCTGGAGGAAAGGCTATGTATACATCTAGAGGATTTGTGAAGCTAAAAACCAAGCTCTGGGCATGGTAATGCACCTGTAATCCCAGCTATTCAGGAGGCTGAGGCAGGAGGAACACAAGTTCAAGACCAGCCTGGGCAACTTGGTGAGACCGTGTCTCAAAATAAAAAGTAAAAAGGGGCTGGGGCTGCAGCTACGTGGCAGAGAGCTCTTGGGTTCAATCCTCAGTACTTGCACCCCCCACCCCCACAAAGCCCCCCAACCTTGTTCTTGGCTCAAGAAAGCATCACTTTAAGGGTTTTACAGTAATAATGATGGCAATGATGATGATATAATTTAAAAATTGAAGCCTCTAAAGCTGGAGGGAAAGTAGAGAAGAAAAGTGTCCTCTTGGGCCCAGCTGAGCTCCAGCACAGCCAAGACACTCCAGTGCCTGCCACCCGGCTCCTTCACCAGTGCGCCTGCTTTTCCCGAAAAATAGTCTTGTGGCTCTGAAAACACCTTCTTTTGGACGCAGGGACTCTCTGGAGGTACTTATGTTCTTTCTGTGTTATCTGGCTGAAAATTTACAGTAAATAGCTCTAGCAAGAAACGGCAGCCTAAAGAGATTCTTGGGGGGTGAACTTCGGAGAAAAGGAGGGCGGTCCTGGTCCTGGGGCGGCTTCATTGGGCTTGGGGACAGGGACCCGGACCCGGACCCATGGGGAAGGGACAATAGGGCTGCCCGGATCCCATTAGTGGCCCAGGACCCCGCCTAGGCCAAGGGGACAGGTCTCCTTCTCGCCAAGCACCAGGCTAAGCTAAAACTGCGCGAAAACAAAATCACAAACAAAACATCTTGAGCCTGTCAAGGGGAAAAAGCCACAATACAGTGCTTGTTAGGATTAATCCGGCTTTGCCAGCTGCCGGGTGGTTCAAAATAACACAGAAATGAGTGAGAAAACGCAGGCTCTGGGTCAGAGCTGCCCACAGAACCCTACGGCCTGACCAAGCCGGGGCCGAGCTCCTGGAGCCCGGCAGCGAGGATTCTGTCCCAGGTGAGGGTCTGGCTGTCACCGACCACGGGGGCACAGCCCCAAACCGGGACGCGGGAGCGCACAGCGGACCAGAACCGGAGTCTGCGCGGCCGAACCCTTGCAGCGACTGTCCTGCCTCATCATCCCACTCAGAGCCAAGACACACGCCCGAGACCCAGGGCCAGGAGCGCCCGAGCAGCCTCCGGGGCCGCGGCCACACCTGACTCAGCCTCCTTGTGGCGGCCCCCCGCCCGGCCCCTGCCGCCTGGCTCCCGGCCTCTCCAGGACCTCGGTGTCGTCCGCGGGTTCCAAGGCACCGTGTCTACGCGGGCGCAGGCTGAAGCAGCAAGGACCCCCGCCACCGCGTCAGGAGCGCCGGGGGCCACGCATCTTCCTCGGGTCTGGGTCTGGGTGCACAAACCGCACACCCTGGTCGGACTGGACTGGATTGGGAGTCCACACTGCGGGCACCCCCGAGATCTCCTCTCCGCCCGCGCCCCCGAGGACTGTAAGTACCTGCCAAGAGGAAGCACAGGACGACGAGTGCCCGGCCGCCCATGGTCCTGGAGCCGGCGGGCGACGCGGGCTGCAGGCGGCGAGGTGCGGAGGACACGGCGCGGCTGGCGCAGTCAGCAGCGTGTGCTCCCGCCCCCGGCGCTCTCCTGCTTCATCCCCAAAGCTGAGCTGGAGCCGCCGCCGCCAAACCCCTCCCACCAGGACTAGCGGGGACTGGGCCACCTCCTGGTCGTCCCTCCCTCCCTCCTGCTGGGCTCAGGTCCCAGGAACTCGGCCCAGGGCGGCCTCTGCTGGACAGTCCGCGGCGGAGACCGGCTAGAAACCGAGGCAGCCTGGAATGGGCTGGGACCTGAGAGACGCGCAGGGGACCACCTGTGTCTCAGGGACGTCTCTGTGCCCCCCACGGGAAATGGTACAGCCTGGCAGGGGCACCTGGAGAGCAGAGTGGCACCTCCTTTGCTCCGAGGACAGGGACCCTCACCCCTGCAGACTCGCCTGCGAGTGGAGACCCTCCAGGGCCCGGGGCCAGGGCTGTGCTGTCACCAGCCTGCAGCCGGCAGCTGTAAGGCATAGGACTCCTGACCGCACGTCAGACATGAAAACATGGAGAAAACGAAGGCTCAGAGAAGGCAAATTCTGTGCTCCAAGTCTCAAAGCTGGTGACCAGAGCCCTTGCACCGGCCCTGGGACACGGGCTGACTCTTCCCAGCTGACTGCTGTGTGCTACCCTAGGTGCCTTGCAGGTGGCCACCACGTCTGTCTTTTACTTTCCGCAGAAACTTCCCAGGTGGACACATCTTCAGGGCGGGACGCTGCAGCGCCCAGAGAGGTCGATGAGTCTGTCCTGGTCGAGTCTCATCCAGGGATTGGAGACCAGAGGCAGAGAGTCCCAAAGCCACCATCAAAAGGACCTTTGCTTAATTCCCTCCCCCTGCACTTGGGACTTCCTGTGTCCACAGCCCCAATGCACGGGGGTGGGGGTGGGGGTGGGGTGCAAGCTTCACTGTTTGCTGTGAGCAGAAGCCCGGTGTCCCCTAGGACTGAGGAAACCTGAACTAAGGCCCGGGGCGAAGTCTGGCCGTGCTTGGTGCCTCTGGAGAACACCTTCCTTCCCATCTTCTTTCTCATCTAGCAGGGCTCGGTGCTGTCTCTGACCAGGCTCCTCACATTCTCAGGGGCCAGGCCAGTTCCCTGCCAGCGCTGCCCAGCGCCACTTGCAGAGTTTGCTTCCACTTCCACTTCCACTTCCACGGGCTCCTTTCACCTTGGTAAATGTACTGATTCCTGTTGCAGCGAGGACCAGGGGATACCACAGGCCAGTGCCCACCTCCTTCATTCTGCCCAGTCTAAGAAACTGCAAGTGCAGTTTGTTAAAACACGTTCTCTGACTGATCTTGAGCCCCCAGTCCTTCTGGTTCTTGGTGTAGTCTGCAGGAGAATTATGGAAGTGTCACGGTGGTGGAAGTAATGTTTTTTGAAGACCACTGCACAGGGAAATTAACTCCATTGAAGTTCAGCAGCACTTTAATGGGGTCCCTCCAGAATGCAGGACGTGTGGGGCTCTAGCTTGGGGAGCAAAGGTGACTGCTTGGTACTCAAAGGGTGGTGAGCCCTACATTCTAATCAGTCAGAATCTCTAACACTTCAGAGCTGAAATAATTTCTTTAATTAAAGTCATTCAGGTTAATTGCTGATTAAAACGTTTTAGTTTACTAATCCAGTCAAAGCATATGTAATCACTTTCCATGTGCCAGGCCCTCTGATCAGCTGTGGGACATTAGTGGCTGTCACACCCAGGGTAGAGCAGGTGATGTTGCTGTCATGGGCCAGCCCGAGTTTCTGCATCTTGAGCAGTGACAATTTGTTTATCATAAAAGTCTCTGGTGGATCCAGGCTCCTCTCCAGAGTAGCTGTCCCCACTGTCAGGACTGTTGTCCCACCGCTGGCTTCCACATTCCAAGAGGTGGAGAAGAGAGCAGGGAAGGTTATGGCAACAGTTAATCTTTTACCCAGAAGTGATGTTTCCAGCTGTGTTTTATAGGCGGATGCAAGTCAGCAGCCATATCTGACTTCAACAAGTCCGGAAGCACAGTCACTCCGAGTGCCCGCTGGAGAGGAGAAAGGGGAAGGAGGAACAGTGCCATGTGTGCCACTGTGGGTAATCATCATCTCTGCCCTCCCAAAACATATGCAGTGATTTATTATGTTAAACGTTATGAATGATAATATCCACTAGCATTCACTGAACTTCTGCTATGTGTAGGAATTGTTCCAAGCATATAGCTGTGCTGGGTTGAATACTCTTGTTTTGATCATTATTAAAAGGAATTTCTAGCATTGTGGACTTGCAATGCCTTACACAAAAATTGTCCCTGGCTGACTTGGTTCTGATGTCCTGGATTAGTTGCACCCCGCAGATACTGCTGGACAACAGATGTGGGAGGACATGAGGGGCTGTGTCTGGCTCTGCGAGTCTCATCCCAGCTAAGGAAAGAATAAATAGGCTGGGAGCTGGAGAGGCCAGGCTCAGGGAGGCTGGAGACCGTCCTAGTCCTCTCTCTGCCATCTGCTGGCCGGCTGGAGACTGAGGACTCGGCAGTCTGTACAGGTGTCTGTGTTACTCTGCTAGCAAAGCTGCTATGACACCAGAGACCCAGTGTCTTACACAACAGACCACGATGTCTCACATTTCAGAGGGTCAGGATTCTGAGGCAGAAGCACTGCCCAGGTGGCTCCGGGGTCCTCTCTCCTCTCTTCCTGTCACCACCGCACCCTCACGGTCTCATTTATCCTTAAACACCTCCTTAATCCATTTATGCCAAAGATTGAAATTATTTGAATTTTGAATTCAGATACGTTACCTAGAAAAATTCAAGGATCAAGAATTCAAAGAGAAACTATTTCATTATGTTCCATAGTTGTGGGTGTTCCAAAAGTGGATCACTAGGCAGTGAAGCATTTAAACCCTGTCTCCAAACACAGTTACATCGGGAGTAAAGTCTTCGGCATGTGAGTTTGGAATGTGTGCAGGGGACAAATTTCATCCGTCCAATCCACCCTCTGATCCTCACTCATTACCCACTCACATGCAAAATACACTCACGCCACCCCATAGACCCCCAAAGTCTTAACCTATTCTGACAGCAAGGCTAAGTCCAAGTCTCACCTAACTGTGCTCTAAATCAGGTCTGATGAGACTCCAGGCACAGTTCCTTCTGAGGAAAATTCTTCTCTACCTGTGTAATGTGGAACAGACCCCATCATGTGTTTCAGAAACACAGGAGAGGAAAGGCATAGGATAGTTCCCTCCTGGTGTTGTATGAGGATAAACTTGATCATGTGGAAGGTGCCATATAGGCTGAATGCCGATAGACGCCAGCCATTATTATAGAAGAGTTTGAGGTATACTAACTGTATGTTAGGGCCCAAAATGCAAGGAGAAAATGCTACCATCTGCAGTGGTTGTTCTTGTCATCCACAGCTACGCAACTGGGGCTCTGTCCTTAGTAATGCCACTCCACCCTGTGACCGCTGGGCTGCAGTGGAAAGCCCTCAACTTCCTATGACTGTTCCTCCCCACTTGACGTCCACAAGCAGGAAAGCAGCAGCTAGACCCTGGTCTGCCTGTCTTGGCTTCTTTGGTCTCCCCACAAGCTGCACCCCGTAAAAATTTCCTTTGGGGCCACCATTATTGTACCAGTTGCTTTGCTTTTCTCTTAACTTTAATTCTCTTATTTTTAATATGGCAAAGAAGCTTAAAAGCAGTTATGCAACACATGTAAAAGTGTAAAATTGAAACTTAGCTACGAAATGCATGTTAAATAGAGCAGTTTCAAAGGGCATGATGAAACATGCTTGCTTGCCTGATTGAAACAGCATTGTTTGAAGCTGCTTGAGGGCTTTGAGGACGATAAAACCATGCGCCAGAAATTTCTAATTAAGGACTAAAGGCCTTAAAATATTTAAGAAGAAACTGTCTTCTTAGGTGATACATAAAGAAACCACTTATTTAAACTAGTTTAAAACTTCACTGAGTTAATGCTATTAAATCAAACACTATTTGATAGGAATAAGATACAAGCTACATACACAAATTAAAAATTTTAGTGGCTGGGTATGGTGGCATATGCCTGTAAGCCCAGTACTCAAGAACTACACTATCTAAGCAAGACCCTGTCACAAAACAAAACAAAAACAACAGTAAGAAAAGAAAGAAAAATGAATTTTAGTAGACACATTTTCTTTTCAGCACTGAGGACCAAACCCAGGTCTCTTATGTGCAAATACACACTGTACTACTGAGCTACCTCCCCGTCCCCTGCCACATTTGAAAAATGGAAAGAGAAACAATTGAAATTACTTTAATAATTTTTTACTTAATCCAGTATCTAAAATGTTTACTATCTCAGCAAGTAATGAATATAAAGACATTAATGAAGTCTTCGATATTTTTTGCTAAGCCTAGGGAACAGTGCAAGGGAGACTTTCCTGAATTAGCAGCAGCTGCAAGTCTAAGACACATTGCTTCATGGCCTGAGGAAAGGTACTTAACCTGTCTAGCCTCAGTTTCCCCTCTGTGAAAAGAGGATGAGGATAGTACCTTTCCACAAGTGGCTGTTTTAAGAATGAAACATGTGGAAAGTATTTAGAATGAAGCTTAGACAAGGCAGATTTTAACAAGTGTTTGCTGTTGGTTTTGGTAGAATCATGATGAGAATGAAAAGCTGTGATTAACAGTAAAAGCATCCAAAATATCACTGTAGTATTTAGTGGAATCAGGCTTCTTGCTACTCAAAGGCACTGACATTATCACTTGCCCTAGAAAAACCTATATATGTATAATTCAGAGCGTTTCTCAAACTGTCTGGTCTCTGGACCCCTTTACACTCCTGAAGCTTATTAAGAACCTCCACAAAATGTTTATTTATGTAGGAAGAGCATTTTAAGATCTCTCAATATAATTGTGGTTTTCTTCTTTTGTACTGCACCAATACTCAAAAAATAGTAGTTTCTTAAATTAGCTGCAATGTAGAATCTGGAATTTATATATGTCTTAGACACTTTCTCATTGCTGAAGCACAACACTTGACATCCATGAATTAAAAGAGGAGAGGTTTATTTTGGCTCAGTTTGCAGAGGTTTCAGTCCATAGTTGGCTGGCTGTAAGGCAGCACAGCAT